CATTGAGATCAATAATTAAAGAATTTTTGGTTTTAGTCGTAAAAAATTATTACCTAGGGTTCCTAGGTTCCATTTGCAACGATTTAGTTTTTGATATAATTTTCATTTAAGGTTCGATTTGTTGTAGTCAGTGAGAGTTTAGGCCAGTAGAATAAGGACAGGACCTGAAAGTGATCTGGGGAAAGCTGGAAATCATTCTAAAACCCTAATATAGTCTTGAAAACGAGTAATCTGGGTGTCCCCTAAGGTCTTCACAGAATTGTTACGCCCTTTTACTATTTGTAACTTGGATTATGAATGGGCGCTAATTGTATAGCTGTGTGACCGTTCTAATTCTAACACCTTTGACGTTGGTATCCTTCGTCATCTTCATAAGTTTTGGACGTTGCTAATCGTGCTACAGCGAGATATGCTTAGAGACTTTTAGTTTTGTTGTGATTTTATTGAAAAGTGATGTGTCCGTGCATAAACTACACTACTAAACAACTATACATATATATTTATTACGGCGTTTACATTTCGTTAAAATGGAGTCTGCTTCGCATGCTGGTCGGTGCGTGACTCGCTTTCCCCTTCCGAGCTCTCTCCAGACATAGCACTCCTTCCCCTAGGTTTAAGGTTATGGACGGAACGGAGATGATATCTTGTAAGTATTTCGGTGGTCGCCTTTCCAGTTCTAGTTTGACCTGGTGTGTGGTGTGGGTCAATATTTCTGTCTAGACGTTTCGTTTGAAATCTGCACTGATTCCAAAGGAATTTGTGTTAGATTTTCTTATTCTACCGATCCAGTTGGTATCGTACGTGGTCGAATTTGGTCTGTATGGCGCGGCGTAGTAACATTTTCTCCTGAGACGTATTTAATTTGAAACTCAGGGGACCGGTGGCTTCCAAAACTGTTACTGGAACACTCTGTACATCTTAACGTCAATTTCTTATCATTCTTTTTCCTGATTACATTAATGTGTCACAACCTATTTTGATTTAATTTTAGCGATGAAACAATAAAAACCTTATTTTTTACTTCTTTAAATAGTAGGCCATGGATTCATGGAGATTTTGTTTTGTTTAAATATTGTCTCCATTGTAACTAAAGCAGTCGATGTCAACAAAAATGGCTGACGGTACAAGTCATTCCAAAATATTCAAAAATGGTAAATAAATATTACTACGTCGCTGGATTCTACGTAAAAATACCTAAAATAGGCAGTTTTTACCTTTTTTCTATCTTACATGGGTAGTCAGATATGACAACATCACAAAAAGTCCAATTTTTCATATTCACCCTATATCTTAGACCTCAGAAACAAACGTAGTTGGATTGTGGATGGATGTGGTATTAAGTGGCACAGGGTCGCGAAAAGCACAAGTCTCTTATCTTTAAAAACAGTTGAAATACACTGCAGTCTCAACCAAAATAGGGCACACGGTACATTTTCTTGAGCGCGTACTAATGATTTTATGATTATTTGCATTTTTTCGCTTTTTTTGTATTATTTTGTATACTTTTTTGTTAATAATAAAAAATCAAAATTTTTTATGTGGACTTTTTTATGATGAGGCCCGCAGATATAAGTGGAAACTTTAAAATGGCCCTTGATGATAAATGAGTTTGACATATCTGGTGTAAGGGGTCCGCCACTTTTGTTACAATAATTCACAAGCCCGAGGAAAGCTTGAAGTTATTCTTTTAAGTTTCTCGATGCCGGTACTTCACATATGGCATACTTTTTTATGGTTTTCCGAACATATTTCAAACCCTACAAATTCAATACGATTCATAGAAAAAGACATTTATCCTTTCGTAAACAGAGTCCTTCTTGTTCTTGAAACCGATTCAGGATCTCGCGCACCTTTCATTGTAGATCCTCTTCATGGTTCCCCACTACTAAAATATCGTCATAATCAGGCCACACTCCTGTTATTCCCGAAAGACGGCTGTCGATAAACTTTTGCAATATCTGTGGCGCGGTTGATACTCCAAATTGTATCCTTTGACACCTTAAACACTCCACGGCTAGTGATTATGGCTTGTGCTTCAGCTGTTGCATTGTAAACTGTTAATCGTCAAGTGTTGCAAAAAGTTTATTCCCCTCAACCGCAGCTAAAATGTTTTGAACCGAGGGTACCAGATAAGGATCTGTATTTAGTGCTTTATTTATTGTACAGCGATAATCCCCACAAATTCGCACTTCGTTGTTATTTTTTCTAGCTATCACTATTGATGTAGTCCACTGCGGGTGTGTGTCATTGGTTCAAGGACGCCTTGAGTAAGTAGCCTGTTGAGCTCCTCATCTACCCATGTTTAAGAGCAAGGTACTTTTCTCACTCTCGATATTATGGGTCGCCCAGTTGGGTCCAATTTTAAAGAAACGGGTGGTCCATTGAATGTGTCTAATTCCCCAATGAATACAGTTGGATATTCAGCAAGCAAATCTACTGTCTATGGGAGTCCTAAATCACGAAACCAGTTACGACCGATTAAACTAGCTCTGTCTGTCTCGATCACAATCGCTCTCTCCAGACATAACAGAAAGTATTTATATTATGTTATCAAAAATCTCTAAACCTTCCCCATATTTTTATAGTTTTATTCGTTGAAGTTTTTTTTAAAAATAACAGCGACTATAGTTTCGGCGTATTGCCATCATCAGGCGATGTGAAAGTTAACAGGAAAACGGTAAATTACAAACGTTGAAGACGAAAAAGACGAACATGTTGTTTTTTTAATTATTAACTGGCCGAAGCCAAGTGAAAAACCTGAAGGGTGGTTAAAACGGAAAGGTTGTCCTAAGTTTCAAGACGAAATTATTATCAAGTCTTGTTAAGACAACCAACCGGAGGGTTGAATTTTTACATTAAAGGTTGAAAGTTGGGTTAACACATTTCAAAAGAACGGGGGGAAAAAAAAGAACTTATAAAAGTATTGAAACTATTAAGATGACTACATATTTAAATTATTTAAGTAAAGTTTAAATTCGAGATCATGCAGACGGCATGTCATACTTACCAACATACCTATTGATGGGCACAATAGCCAACGCTATCAGGAAAGAGGAAAACTTTGGCTTTGCGTTTGGGTTGAATACGAGTGGGTTGTGATAACGTGGTGTGTTTGTGGGAAGAAGGAGTTATGTGTTTTTTAGCTGTGCTAGGGCGTGTAACTTTATTGGGTGGACCTGTCTTTGTGGGACATGTTGCCTTACTTGTATTTATGGTGTTTTATTCTTTGTTCTTGAGGTTGTATTTGTGTGGTTACTAGGGTTATTGGTGGAGACATTACAGTATTTTGTGAGCCTGTAGTGCTGTTTAGGCTTTTGCGTTTGGGTTGAATACTAATGGATTGTGATAATGTGGTTTGCTTCAGAGGTGAATCTCTGATTGTAGTATATGTTGTATCATTTGTTGTACTTGTTTGTTCGGTAAGTTGTATTTGTGTGTTTGTTTGGGTTAGAGGTGGAGATATTACAGTATGTTGTGTACCGTGTTGTGAGCGAGTGCTGTTGTTAACATGTATACGTTGTGGATCATTTGTGTATGTAGTATCTTGTGTTATGTTTAGAAATTTACGAACAATATGGCATGTGTTGATAATGACTGCTTTTTGTAAATTTTTGTATGTGTTTTTGTCTAAACCTAATAGTTGTAAATTGTGGTGTATTGTCTTTGGTATAACTCCGGTAGCACTAAGAATAATGGGAACTATAACAGTAGATTTCATTCTCCATTGCGTCTTAAGCTCGATAGCTATATCGGTGTATTTGCGGTGTTTTTCTGCATGTGTTTTAGATAAGTTGTTAGTGTTGGGTATGGCAATGTCTATAATACAAATGGATTTTTGTGTTTTATCTATAAGTGTAATATCTGGTCTATTATTGTGGATAGTTTTGTCTGTGAGTAGTGTCCTGTCCCAATATAATTTGTGTGTGTGTTGTTTTCAAGTATGATCTGTGGCGTGTATTTGTAATATGGTGTCTTATCTGTTATGAGATTGTGTTTAAGAGCTAATTTTTGATGTATGATTTTAGCTACCTGATCGTGTCGATGTTTGTATTCAGTTTGTGCAAGTCGTGTGCATGCCGATATTATATGTTGGATTGTTTCTGATGTTTGTGAACAGAGTCGACAAGAATCGTTTGTCACTGTTTTGTCTTTATGTATGTGTTTTTTATAGTTGCGTGTATTAATGACCTGGTCTTGTATTGCTAACATGAAACCCTCAGTCTCCGGGAAGATATCACATTCAGACAACCAAGTGTGCGTTGCTATAGAATCAACACAATCCTGACTAACCTCTTGTGGAAATCGTCCATGTAACGGCTTTTGGTTCCATGTCTGTATGTTATTTGTGATGTATGTAAGTTTGGATGGAGGTGGGAGTATATTAGTTTCGTGTAGGTTAAGTGGTGTGTAAGATTTGTCTGCATATGTTACTGTTTTGTGTAGGACTGAAGTATCTGTTTTGTTATAAAAGTATTGTCGCAAATTGTGTATTTGTGTTTGGTGCAATAGTTTTATATCTGTAAGTCCTCTACCTCCTTCCGAACGAGGAAGGTAAAGTCGTATAGTAGAGGAGTGAGGGTGATGTATATGGTGTTTTGTTAATAGTGTACGTGTGTTTCTCTGTATTTGTTCTAAATCTGTATTTGTCCAACGTATAATCCCAAATGAGTATGTAAGCACTGGTGTGGCATAAGTGTTAATAGCTTTGATTGTATTTCTACCGTGTAATTTTGTTTTAAGTATACTGCGTACTCTTTGTAGGTATTGTGTGATAAGTGTTTGTTTTATACTCGTATGTTTAATGTTTATTTAATTATTTATTTATTTAATTTATTATTATTATTATTATTAAATAAAGCCGTTATTATTATTATTATTATTTTTCTCACTAGTTCTAAATAGACATCTTCTTAATGTACCTGTAGATGACTTCTTACAACCCCGTTTCTGTAAGGGTGCTATACTTGCCCACTTCAGTAATAAGAATAATAAAACAACAATAAATTAAAATGGTTTATTGTGGAATGCACACTGGATTATGAAACAAAGTATTTGAGCAAATCATTAAATTCTTAAATTGACGTGAGAGGTATAGAAGAAATGATGGTGAGTGTAACGATGATTTTTATTACAGACGTGATTGTTTTTAGGCAAGTCTCTTGGTTTATTGCACATAATTTAGTTTAACAAAGTAAACAATGTAAATTTATACAGTTCTCTTACCAATTCGACATAATGGTTGCAGTAATACAGTTGGTTTGAACTTTCACATTGAAAAGTTTTTTTAGGGAGAAATTATGTCGCTTGGCGAAAGTGCTTAGTATGATGCTCGAAACCACCACATGTGCAATTTGACAAATGAACATTTACCAAATAATGAGAATTATTAAAATATTAACTAGTAACAACAATAGTAACGAGAAATAAACCATAATACAATAATTTATACAATAATCACAAGTCTCAGCAACGATTGCAAAAAAAATGTTCGTCGGTTGCATAGTTCTTTTCTTCAGTTTCCAAATTATTGCCATTAGTAAATACTCGTGTAAGTTTATAATTGCCCGGATAAAAAATACTTTTTCTTAAGTACAATTGTTAAGTAAATCAGTTAACACAGAATGTAGATAATTCGTAACGAACACAGAATGATGATTGTACAACGTATTTGCGTGTGCCTTCGAATTTCGGTACACGTCGGGATACCGCTGGAGAGCTTGTCTTTGATGGAGTCCATTTTGTAACACTATATCATTATCTAACAAACTTTGTACACATTTAAAACAACTAAAATTTTCGCGAGAATTCGGCCGCAATTCACCGTTCATCCTCATCGTTCGATTTTATCACTGCACAAACTGATTTCGTTGTCCTTTAGAAACCTGAATATCTCATTTGAGTGCCAATACATGCTTGAAAACATTAACGGAAATACGTCCTTCGCCCTCTTGTTTTGTAAGACACCTGAAACAAAAAGAAAAAGTAATTTTTAGTACGGGGCGCATTAAAATTTCAAAATATAATAATTAGCGATAATGCAGTTAGAATACCCAATGGAATAAAGCAACAATGGAACGTCACGGTTTTCACATTATACGTAATCAATAATGTATGTGCATAATGCATTAATTCGTTTCCTCTAGTGTACAGGAAATAATTTCTTTCGGAGGGAATAAGGGAAAGACCGGAATCTAGGGGATGGGAGTTCAATCTCGCTAATGGGCAATGAGGGCTACTGACAACGTCACTTCGGTTCATCGGGATTATACGAATAAAAAAAACTTCCAATATCTTCCGCAGTTGCACCACTTTATCAGTTTTAACTGCCCAATCTGTCTTCAATCAGAATGGATGCAAGCGTATCAATAATAATGCGTAACCGTTCGAGCGTACGGTCGTCAGCTGCAACCGAGCTGCATTACATCAAAGTCGAAAAGTTAATTTCCTATCCGTCTTGTACAACTCATTATTTCTGACTGTTGTGGCCAGTTTCTCGTTTTTGATTGATGACGGATTTTAGCATTAAACCAGATTTCATTTAGTTTCGATTTGTCGGCAAAGGATCGTGAAGTTTTCACGGTACATCGGTCGATGAGTTGAGCAAATTAATTATGTCAAACAGATATATGCTAATGGCATTAGATAATTAATTATTAAACAGTCGCTCATTGCGAATGTAATTTCGGTTAATTCAATCACACGTGCGGCGTTCCCAACAAGAAAATCAAAATATTGTTCAAATTAATGCCAAGCAGAAAGTACGTTCTAGCTAAAGGTCCACTATGGTTTGCCATTTTTTATTAGGATTACAATGGTCAAATCAGAAAAACAATAGAGCATTGAGTTGAGATAGTAAACAAAATAACATTATCTTTATGGAACGCCCTATATATTTTTTCACATTTTGAAATAAATTAAAATTATAAATAAAAATCTTTAATACACACGCCTAAAAAAGATCTAGAACAGGGACAGAGCCTTGTGATCCTACCGGGTCATTAGATTTGATCCATTTTCAATAGGTTTGTTCATGCGATCATTTAGTGCAAAGTTTGAACTAAATCGGTACAAGCGTTTTCAAGTTATCGCGTACAGGCGTGTAATTTTTCGCGCCTCGACGGATTTGCTTGAAAATTTGGATTTAGGTTCCTCTTAAGTAGGCCTTCCACGTGCATTCATTTCATCGAACTTTGAATTAGCGCCAACTTTGAACAGAATGTTGAAACACCACTTCCACGTTCGCACATGGTTCGTACAAACTTGGTAAACAAATACAGGTACGATTGTGCACGCGAAAACAACGAACATGCGTTTTCGGTTCCTCATATACTACAATGCGTAAATCTATCTCACTTATGTCTTAACTCTAGGAGCGACAACCACATCCACGCGCGCCCAACATCGCTCCGCGCCAAGAATTCAAGATTGGCAAAACTCTTGGCTCCGCACCAAGAACGATGCAAACTTTGCGCGATGACCCCTTCCACGTCCGAACCTGGTCTGTTTGCAGGAGTGTACACTCCAAGTTCGATGAAATGAATGCACGTGAAAGGCCTGCTTTACGTCTTACCCTATACTTCAAAGGTGAACTTGAGCCCAGGCCCCAGGGTTGCTTTTACTTGGGGGTTTTTAGACGGTTTTTCGCAAATAACTCTAAAAGTAAGTAGGTACCTATCGAAAAAAGTATTCTTAGCAAAAATATAGCTTATAAAAAAACAAACAAAATGGTCTATCTTTATGAAGTCTGTAGACCCAGTAAAAGCAAAGTAGCTCATGAAAAGTAGGTTCTCATTCGTCAAATTCCAAATCGAGTACTTCAACGTGAAATAACCAAAAAATGAAGCACTTTTCGCGGAAAACTTGTGAATACTTTTTTAAAGTGTTTGAGAAAACCTTTCTTTTTGTTTTTAAGAAAAGTTCCTAGCATCAAAACTAAGTGAGTTACGCTCAAAATAAAGTTGGTCCTTTTTTTTGGTAAAAAAGGGGGAAATCGCCCACTAATTAGCAAAGTGCTTATTTTTGCAAATGTAGTTTTGAATAAAAAAAAATTTTGAAATTTTGAAAAATTGCCTTTTTTTTCAAAATAACTTCAAAAATATTAGTGATACGAAAAATTTACAAGAATAAAAAAATGTAGCTTTTGCTGTTCCTCATTTTGCTTTTTTTGTTTTTCTGTAAAACAAAAATTGGTTAACATATGGCTGTTCAAAGTTTGCATACACTCGTTATTAGTGACACATTCGAGCCGTTTCAACTACAACCCTTTAATAAGGGTTTAAAAAAAATTAATTTGAATATTCTTATAGCTTTTAAAAAAACCTACAAAATGGTTTTTTAAAGCACTTCGTAGCTTAAAAATTAACCGATTTATGAGTAAAAAACCAATCACATATTTAATACATCAAAACGCGTGTAGTTACTGCAGCATTGTAAGATACACATAATGTGCTATTAAGGCAATAGTGCTCCAATAATGGACAACGAAGAAGATGAAGATGAGACCGAAGATCAGAACGAGGATGAGGTTCATGTGGAAAGAAGTGTAGGTGATGAGGAAGACGAAAATGAAGAAGAAATTTAATTATTTTTCAATACTTTTTACAATTCAAAGCATTATTGCATTATAAATAAAAAATTAACATTCATATAAAAATAAATTTTATTTTTTTCTATTTGTTATTGTAAATCTAGAGATCTAGGACGTATATTTCAAACAATAAGTATTGTTTTTTTAATTGAAATAAAATAAATTCGTAAAATTTTAATTAAAAAAATTACTGTATATATAGTATCAATGAAGAAAAAAATTACTACAACTATTCGAATTTCTTCGCAAGGGTTGGTTTTTATAATTTGAATCAATTACCCACTTTAATTTTCAATTATACGATTTTTTTCTAATAGGGGTAGTTTTTTCCCCTAAAAAATTAAAAGCAAACCTGGGTTCAAGTTCAACTTTGAAGTGGAGGGTAAGTAGAATCTAAATCCAAATTTTAATGCGATTCGGTGGAGACGCGGAAAATTACACAGTATCGCGTATTCCACGTTCATTGACTGGCCTATAAGTTGTCCCCTAAAAAGCTTGTTCTGTCGCTTAATAACAGAGTTGCAAGGTATCGGACAAAATATTATTTTTCATGATAAATATGCTAAAAAGGTATGTTATGAAAGTTGATCTACCAAAAGAAGAAATCAAAATTTTACTCTTAATCTGCATAAAAAACTACAATTCCGTAAGAGTTGTTGCTACTTGCTAGAGGGCTGAAAGGCTGTTATTATTACGGATCACTGCAACTATTGCGACCGTTTAAAGTATCAACTGACACCATTAGAGAACAACTAATTCTCATGTTGTTGAAAGGCGTACGGTTTATTATGGTTTTTTAGTTTCTGTTACTTTTTTAGTATCATTGTAAATAATTTAACAAATTATTTTCCCTTTGTTTCTAAATTGTTGTTGAGTTTTCTTTAATTTAGATTGTATGTTCAATGTGTTGTAGCTCTGGTATTAATTAATTAATTAAACACAACATAATTTTCCTTGGAAATACGTAACAGTGCAGTGTACCTACGTTTCGATATGAGTCAAGTTTTACTTCAACTTTTTCGATTTTGTATGTGTGAAACTGGTCCTGGTTTACGGTCCTGACCACTTAAATGCGTTTGAAGGCTGACGGCGCCAGGAAGTCGCGGGAGTTAACTAAAATTACGTGACAATTTTGCAAAGGCCAGATCCGTCGTTATCAAGCCTAGTACGCAGCGTGTTGTTTGCTGAGTTTGTATGAACTGGGTCAACGAGGAGTAGATTGGTTTGAAAAAGTGGAGAATATTCTGTAAGTCCCAGAATGGAATTTAATTAAAAATTAAAGGCAGTGGGTTGGTTGTTGTGAAAGTGCCGTGCAGCAATGCACGTTAAGGCCCGCCATTTATTACCGGATCGGTTCGCCAGATCGGTCGGTCCTGACTCATACGCTGACCGATTCGCTAATAAGTGGCAATGGAAGACAAGGCGCGTACCGGTCCGGTTGGATTGTGAATTGACCAATTTGATCACCGAACCGACCGCAGCCCATCCGTACCAATTGGTTTATGTGGGGAGACTAGGGTGATTTGTCCAGCAACTCCAGCCTACAGATGTGCTAATAAATGGCTTTTAAAGATAATAAAGTATTTTCGGAGGAATGTATTCTTTTATACCACGAAAACTCATGCCTTTGAGATATCAAGAGCAAAGATTATCGCAACAAGCAAACCATGTAAAAAGGATTTCGCCCTAAGGCGAATTACTTTAGCGCATTGATCAGTACTTCCCAAACGGCCATAGCTATGTAAGCTATGTTTTTCTTTACTAGAAGCGTCAATGGTTAGCATTTCATTCATTTTCAAGTTAACATTGCGCAATCAGCGCATGCGCACATCTGATTATTGCAATACGCGATATGTTTGCCTTTATTAGAAGCATCTACGCACATTAATCGTCAAGATTCGACCTTTCAATACTGTCCACATACGATCAATTATATTGCACAAACCAAACTATTGCGCAATAATATTGAGCGTGTATGGGAGGCTTAAAATTTTCAAATGAGATAAATAAGTATGTATATGGTTTTTCATGTGTGGACCCAGCTAGAAGAAACAAATTTTACTAAATCATGAAAATCCTCCAGCTTGGTTGCAATTATCCGTATATCAAGGAAGCGTTAAGTTATTTATTCATTTTTTTTTTAATTTATTTATTTATTTTGGCGAAACGTTCCCATTTTTGTAAAACGTTCACACTATTTTAACGCGTTGCTGTAACGCTCCATGATTCAATTTTCCAATGCGTCGATCACGCCTGGTCAACACTAGTTATGTGTACACTCGACTTTTGACACTATATTGTTGTGTAAACTATGGGGGTGTCGTTTTTCCAGGTTGAAACAATACCGAAGATAAGAGCGAGCCACTTTGTAGTGTAA